CCCTCCCTCCCCACCAGCAGGCTCCCTCCTCCTCCCTTCCGGTCTCTTCCTTTAACTACTCGCCCCCCCCAACCCCCAGCACTAGTCTCTCTACCCACCCACCCGAACCTTTTACACACCCCTCAGCCGAGCTCTGTCCCCGCAGAGGAAACTGTGGAGTGCCTTTGCAAAATTGAAGGCTCCAGAGAACATGGGAGGGGACTGGGGGCTTGCTCAAAAATCAAGAACCACAATACAATTATTTTATTTTCACAGCCAGAGAAATAGTCTTAGCTGTCTCTTTTCCAAGACGGGGGAAAAAAAAATCCCAGAGAGAGCAATACAAATCTGACTAAAGCCTTCATCAAATAAAGTGCACAATGCAGTGGAAGCTAATCCCCAACCCCCTCCCCGCCACTGGCCAAATTAACACAAACTCTCCACTCCTCCCTGATGAACTCCTATGGTCCTGGCCAGTTTCTTGAAGCAGGCTTACCAACTATAATAAAATAACTAATAGCTTTTAACAATAATAAGCATATCGTAACAAGCATTCATTCAGTGTTTGTTTTGTGCCAGGCACTGTGCTAAGTGCTTTGCCTAAATTATCTCATTTTTTCCCCTATCAACTGCCTAGAAAGTGGGTATTGATATTTAAATTTTCAAGATGAAGAATATGAGGCTCAAAGAGGTGGTGACCTTTCCAAGTCCCTGTAGCCACGGAGTGACAAAGCTGGGAATGAAATCCAAGTCTGATTTGACAGCCCAAGCCCTAAGGTACATAAAAAGGGAAACCAATGTTTTCCAATACCATAACCAACCCCAAGACTCAATAGAGAAGAGCAGCCATAACTATCAACTGAGTCCTCCTCCTTCAAGAGAGAGATCCACCTACCTACACAGAATAAAGACCCATTACTTTTCAGCCTAATACAGTTTCTTGACTCTTTTCCTCACTGCTGGTGGTGGGGGTGTGGTGCCATTGATTAAGGTCAGGGCTGAGCTGGTATCCAGCGAGTCGCCATACCACACACAGCTCTTCTCTAGGGGTAGGTATCTTGAAACCACTCCCAGTTCAACTCAAAACGGGGCAGGGGCAATTGGACACTTGGCAATGCAGCAGGTGGAAAAGTGAAGACTGCTGGGAGGCTCTTTCCAGGGGGAAGAGGGCTTGGAGGGAAAGTTCTTCCATGTCAATCTAAGGAAAAAGTGACCCAGGGTCCTCTAAGCCCAGCAAAGGGACAAAGTCTTTCCACCAGGCCACACCCTTGCCCCTCCCTCTCACAAAACTCCAGGCCAGGGTTTCCCACCTGCAGGACGCTAAGGCCAAGGAAAGGGAGGGGGGGAAAAGATGGCACGGGTCTGCAAGTGGACTCGGGGCAGAGGTGGGAGGGGGTGCGAGGGGCCAGAATGGAAAGGGGAGGAGGCCTCACTGCCTGGCAACTATCCCGGGGCACGTGCATTGGTGACATCATCCCAAGCCACTCTTAACACAGACCTTTGACCCCGAGGGGTGGAGAGGGGCTGCTGGCTAAGCTTCCTGGGAAATAGCCTTAGGAATTCTGGGAACCGAGAAAGAAGAGGAAGGAAGGAACCCAGGCGGCCCGCCCTTATCTTTTGCCCCCAATGCGGCTCCAATCTCAGGGACTCGCCTCTTGGCTCCGCCTCTCCGCCTCCAGCCCTGACCTCCCAACCCATATTTCTGACGGAGTCCCGACACGCCTCTCAGATACTGTGCCTTCTCTCTCCCGGGCGAGATCTCGGGTGGGGGGCGGGAGGTGGGGGACGGGGGCACTAGGTCCCGCAGGGCTCCGTCTCTCACCGGCGGGTTCCCCTGTGCCCCAGCCGGCCGCCAGCCGGAATCTGTCTGGGTCCCAACTCTCCTGCCCCTCCCCGCGCCGTTCCAGGGCGGAGTCTGTGGAGTTGAAATCAGGACACGGCAAGAGGAAGAGTTATATAACTGGGAGAAGCCAAGAAGGACGAGTGGAGACCGGGAGAGACAGTCCGAAAGGAGCCGAGGGAGGTGCAAAGAGCACCAGAGCGAGTGGGGAAGAAACGTTAGGGATGGGAAGGATTTTGGTGCACGTCAAAGAGGAGGAATTCACGCGAAGACGGCGCGTGATGGTCTGGGAAGAGTCACCTGGGCCATCCGGGGCTTCCCCGCAGCGCCCTCCCCCGCCACCAACAGCAGCTAGGGCCGACCGAGTGAAGCCTCGGGAAGGGGCGCTGATAACTCGTTCCGTTCCTCTTGGGGAGGCAACCTAAGCCAGAGCCCGGGAAGGCAGCAGCGGAGCATATGGGGCCGGAAACCACAGCTCCGCCCAGCCCACCTGGGAGAGTGGGGCGCCAGCTGGGGGTTGGTGGGGAACAGGTAGCTGGCCCCTCCCACACCAGGCTAAGCATTAACTGCTCGAGACCCTGAGAAAGAGGGCTAGCGGACCCAGACGTCTGGGTCCCCAGGGGTTGAGAGCAGCCCAGGACTCGCTTGCGATCAGAGACTTTAGATGGGGGTGGGGGGCGAGCGACGACTTGCTGCGCAGGCGCAGGGGGCTACTCGGGCGCGTGCGGCAAAGGGAGGAGGGTGGGCGCGAGCGTGTGGGAGTGCACGTGCGGGTCCCGGGCAGCTACCCCCTCCCCGCCTCCACCTCTTTCCCTCCCCTCTCCCTCTTCCTGTGGCTCTACGATGCCTCCTCCACATTGGCTGCCAAGGCTCTGATGTCAGGGGCAGCCGCTGGCGCGGATTGGACGGACGCGAGAGTTCGGGAATCCGGCTCCGAGTCTAGCTCTCCAGTTACTCTGGCAACAAGGCAAGCAACCCCCGGGAGGGAAGGGGAGCGAAGCGCCGCTCAGCGCCTCTCCTGGGTCCCCGCCTCCCTCCGGACGACCGCGCCGCGTCCGTTTCAGGTGCAGCGCTGCTCGCTACTCCCCTCCCTCTAGGGTTCTCCCTGACTCGAGAACCAGGAGACCTGCCCTCGACCTTCTCCGCGGTTTCCCAGCCCCCAACTCTGGCCAACTCCCTTCCCAAGTCACAGCCACGAGCCGCAGCAGACAGGAAGCGAATCTGCGTTGCTTAGTAACCTGCCCGCGTGCCCCCTCCCCAATATTTACCTCAGCTCGGGGAGGCGGAGGCTGAGCCCCGACCCCCTCCCCCTTCCCTGCCCTTCGCCCTCCCGCCCACAATTTCCTGTGAGGGGAGCCGAGATGACAGGAAGTCAAATGGGCACCTTAGCCCACCTTTCCGTCTGGCCAGGGCGGGGGGCTTCGGCTGTTTTCAAGACCACATCCCCCACCCAGGACCCTGAGTTGCACTGTGCGTCTCGCTCTCGCCATCTCGTGGCTACGTTGGGACGGTTCAGCGGGGAAGGGCCCAAGCCGGGTGAGGGATGGGAACAGATGAGAGTGGGGGCTGGACCGGGGACTAGCGGGGTGAGGCCGAGCGCAGTAAAGTGAGATGCGGCGGAAAGGATGCGGGCGAAGACAACCACTGGGAGGCTATCAGGACTCTTGATGTGAGGGGCAGGGCTGAGACTTACACACCTCACCCGTGGGAAGAACTGGAGGGAGGCTTGAAGTGGCCCCGGGACCGGAGACACATCCCTGCCTCACCACACCCGACCTCAAGAGGATATCGCACTGCCCTATCTGCAAACCCTGACCTTTAGTCCTGCCCTTCAGTTAGGGACCGTCCCGCCCTAGTGTCAGGAAGGGGAATCCCAGCCCAAGAAGGACGGGGAGTCTTTTCAGGCCTCTCTCGACATCCGGAACCCATGTGCCACCCACAGCTCTTCCCTCGCCTCCGCCCTGATCTTTTCTAGGGGACCCAGATGTCCTGCGCCCCAGTCTCCTTCCCAGTGCCTTTCGCGAGACCCGAAGCCCATCCCCGGCTCTACCCTTCCTTCGACTCAAGCGTCCCGCCCCCCTGCACGGAGATGCTTTTCCTTTTTCCAGACGCCCTCGCGGCTCCCCGTTACCTGCTTCTGGGGTGTCCCAGGTGTTCAGGCTCCCCAAGGTCGTCCAGGGGGTCGAGCGGCCCCCCCCTCTCCCAGGACGGGGCTGGGGGGGCCGCTCCGCCCCGTGGCGCAGTTGGATTTTCCAACACAAACACCGCCCCCCAGCCCCGATCTCCAGCCCCGCCCCCTTCCCATGGTCCCGCCCCTTCTCGCGCCAATGTCCCTGTCTCCGGCTCCGCCCCGCTTTCTGCCGAACCGTTCGCCTCAGCGCAGGTGCCGAGTAGGATGCAGAATGCGGGGTACAGGGTTCAGGGTGCAACGAACGGGGTCCAGCACCGACCCCTGCCTGACAAACCCCTATTCCATTTGGATCACGCGCCTTTCCAAAGTAAATCCCGCCCCACCCGCTCAAGTCCTGCCCCGAGGTTTAGCCACACCTTCTTTAGGCCCCAATGCTCTGCCCATTCGTTCAAGGCCACACCTCCCTCCAAGGCCTCCCATTTCCCGTGCTCCTTTCCTTGTCCAGGAGCAGCTTACGGGAGCCCCCGTCCTCTGTAAGGCCTGGGCTTCCTCCTTCCCCACGCCCCCACTATCCCATTAAGAGACTTAGGGCTTGTGGTCGCGGGCGTTCTACTACACCGAACTCCAATACAATTCTTCCACCTTTATGGCTAGCACAATTAGGTATTTACCAAGGCCCCATTACACGACAGATTCAATTAAGGTCAAGGCCTGAGTGAAGTCCAGCCTCTGTCCGAGGTGCATTATCAGCCTTGGCTCCAAGAGTCCTCGACCCTCCCACAAGCAGGGAAGAAGAGAGGCCCTCTCAGCTGTCCAGGCTCATGAGTAGAGCAGTGCCCCTTTTGATCCAATGATCAGATGTCATGGCCCCAGACCGGAGGTCAATGCCAATGACAAAGGATGCGCGGTCTGAGCTGCCTGCCCGGTTGGGATAGTAATAGCAGGGACAGGAGTACATTCCTGAGGGAAAGGAGAGGAGAGAAAGTCAGACCCTGGAGGCTCTGGGAAAGCAGGGCAGGAGCGGGTGTGGGGGAGGGGTGGCAGAGGGACCCAAGCGAGGGATGGGGCAGGCAGGCTTGAGGGAGCTGTCCCACCCTTGGCACTCTTCTTGCGGCTCTCAGCAGGCCGGAAGTGGATCGTGGGCATGAGGCAGACAAGCTGCATAGGCTCTGCCTCCACCAAGCAGGAGTTCTTCCGGTCCCAGCCGGCACCTTCCAGGTATAGTCCCCGAACCCAGACACCGTCCTGGGGAGACATGGGGGCGGGTTGGGGGGAAGTCTAGACCCTCAGTTGCCAGCCTCCCTGACTTGCCACCTCTCTTCTCCCTTCTTAACCAATTGTTTCCCACCTTTCCTCCCAGCACCCTCCTCCACCAGACCCCACTCTGCTCAGAGCACATCTGGCTCCCACCTTAGGTGGATACACTAGGTTGCTGTCGTCCACAGTGGAAACGATAAACTCCCAAGAGAGGCTGTCCACTGAAATCTGGAGATTGAAGGTGAGAATAAGGGAGGACCCCCAGAGAGCAGAGAAAATACATGTCCACAGCATCGCTCCCCATCCCACTTTCCATGTTGCTCACATTGTTTTGGCGAGCTGAAGACTGCAGCACAGCGGTGAGGAAGCCAGTGGGAAAGGTGAAGCCAGACAGCCAGAAGATGACAGGAGGCCGCGCACGGCTGGCCCACAGCTCAAACTGTTCCACACGCAAGGCCAAGTCCCGGGTCCATGAAGCCAATGGCTTTTGTGAGGGATATGCCTGGAGGACGAGGCAGTGTGTGTTTATTCACTCACTTATCTGTGCACTCATAGCCTTATTCTGAATACTTGAAGCAGATACAAGAAGAATATATGGTGTCAGCCCCTGTTTCCCAACCATAGTTGAGCAAAGCTCTCCAAAACCCAACTACCAGGAAAGAAGCATAAAATGACAGCTATTTATTAACAGTAATGACGGTGATATTAACCAGTTACCATTGATGAAGCACCTACTGAGCGCACAGAACTGGGAATCCTTCAAACATCCTTGGAGAGGTTAGTGACTTTTTGAGTAAGTTTCTAACTTAATAGCTTTGCAAAGTCGGTCAGTGAAGGGCAGAGCCAGATTTCAGCCTTGGACCTGCCTGACTCCAAAGCCTAAGCTCAACTGAATTTTGCCATCTGCTTCCCTAGAACCAGGTTGGGGGCACAGGGGTGCAAGGAGAGCTCATTTTTGGAGGCGGATCAACAGTGATGTAGTCTTGCCTTTCCCCAGAGCGGAGGGACGTGGGCATCAAAGATGCAATTGAAAATCTCTTCTAGGCTTGTAGACATGACGATGAGGCCCTGGATGCCTTTTTCTAGGTCTGTCAGTGAGAACCTAAACAGGATAAGGTGGAGACCCATTCTAGGCAGGCAGTGAAGGCCCTTCCTCTTTCCCCCTCCCCAGATTCTGCAGGACCCCCATCCATCTTACAGGATGGTCTCCATAAGCTTGTTGTATCTCTGAATCTCCTGCAGAAGAACCACACTGAGCGGGGAGGGGTCGAGAGCCAGCAGTTTTCGGGTCCCCTCATAGTCGATCATTTCCGGAATCTTCTGTTTCACATCACCGGCCAGCTCAAGGACCTGCCAAGGCAGAAGCTCTGAGTGCAGACTGCTCTTCCCTGTTGTTTTCCTCCCGCAGGTGTCTGTCTGGCCTTACCTTCTCTTCCCGGCTCTGGCCGCCGGCCCTGGCGGGTGTAATCTGGGGTTGCAGGGAAAGCAGAGTCTCAAAGAGAGTCCGTGCCTCAGTGATCTGGGAGGCCACATCCGCATTGGGGTGCTGGCCAAAGGCCTCAGGCGGGTCCATGCTGGGCAACATGCTGATGTACTCCTTGTATGAGGCCAGGCTCCCATCCTTGGGGATGAAATAGGTCTCCAGTTCTGACAACCTGGGGAGTCACGCATAACTATTGTGGCACTGTGGGGACGCTGGGGCTTCCATGCCAGGCCAAGACCTGATTCATCCAACTCCCTGCTCTTGCTGCCTCCTCCCCAATCCCACAAAGTCTGCCTTCTCCCAATTGCATGTTCTCTCCTCAGACACTTCCCCTACCCCACCCCCATTGTTGTCCTGCCACCTGGTCTCTCTTGTCCTCTGCCCCACCTTGTTCATTGCCACCCTCCCTCACCGGTAGGCGGGGGTCGATAGAGACTGGTCGCAGAAGTAGTCGTTGATGTAGGTGGTGAGCAGGCGCCGGTCCCAGTCATCTGTGATGTGTCCACCATAGTTGACGCCAGCGATCAGGTACTTGAGCGCATCCCAGGGTGTCTCCTCATATTCATCCAGGTAGAGGCTCAGCAAGTTCTCTGACACCTGTGTGTGGTCCCAGCCCCAGCCCCAGCCCCCAGCCCCACACACAGTTACGGCAGGAACTCTTCCAGGGGCACTGTAACAAGGGCTTTGTCAGTGGATGTACCTGCAGGGTAGCCATAGGGCAGGAAGTGGAAGGAGAGAGGGCTGGGGTGAGGGAGTCCTGGGTAGCACAAACCTCAAAGTCAGAGTCATTGAAGCCATAGATGATGTTCCAGCCAAGATGCAGGAACTTTTTGCGTTCAAGTAAGACAGAGTGGAAGAAGCACAGTGCAAACAGCAGCTTCTTATACTTGGTGGGTTTGGAGCAGCGGGAAAACTGTGGTTCTGTCATCAGTTGGTAAAGACGGGTCATGCTGGCCTTTAGGCCCTGGGGACAATGAAGTACAGAGGTGGGATGACGTGCATCTTGCTCGGCCCTGCCACTAGGACCACTGTGTACAGTTGTGGAGGTTGCTCACTGCACAAGGGCAATGGCTGAAAGGATGAGTGGAGGCTGAAATCCAGTCCTTGAGCTGCATGCCAAGATGCGCACTCATTCACAGGGCTGGTGCCTTTCTCTAATTCACACACAGGCACTGTATGGGCTAGTGGCAGTCCCGCCCTCTTGTGCACCCCCCGCCTACCTTTGATCCTCTCTGCTATGAAGTTCTCAATGGTGGGTAGGCCAACTCAATTTGGGAGTGCCAGAAAATATGAACAAAGACATAAACATGCACTATTAATGAGCAAAAATGTACACAATTATGTGCAAAGGGTCTATGTAAAGTACCGAGGAATAAATCTAATAAAAATGTACACATCTTTGTAGAGAAAATTACAAAACTTTATTGAAATAAAGACTAAATAGGGGGGAGGGTATAGCTCAATGGTAGAGTGCGTGCCTAGCATGCACAAGGTCCTGGGTTCAATCCCCAGTACCTCCATTAAAATTAGTAGTTAAAAACCTTATTACCCTCCCCCAAAAAAGACCAAATGGAGAGACCTACTATACTCCCAGCTTGAGAGGCTCAATATCCTAAAGATGTCGATTTCCCCCAAATTGATCAAGAGACTTTTTTTGGTGGAACTTAACAAGCTAATTCCAAAATTTATATTGGAGAACAAAAGGCCAGGAATAATCTGAAGAAGAATAAGGTAAGGGGCTTGCCTTCCCAGCTATCAAGAATTATTACAGAGCTAGATAGTAATTACGGCAGTGTGTGTTGACCCCAGGACGAAAAACTCGACCTAATAATAGAATAAAGGGCCCAGATATATATATATATTTCATATGTATATATAAATAAATAATTATATATATGGTGATTGGGACATTTAACAAGAGATTTAGATAAAAATAATGTATCAATTCACTGAAGCTGGCAACTGTGCTTCAGTTATGTAAGAGACCATCCTTATTCTTAGGACTGAGCCCTTTACGCTGAAATACACTGGCATGTGTAGCGGTGAAAGGCCAGGATATATGCAGTTTACTCTCAAATGGTTCAGAAAAAGTATAACTGAAGAGAGAGAGAAAGAGAAAGAGAGAGAGATCAAATGATAAGGCAAGTGGGACAAAATGTTAACAACAGATGAATCTGGGTAACAGACACGTGGGGGTTCTTTGTACTCTTACTCTTACAACTTTTCTGTAAGTTTAAAATTATTTCCAAATAAAATATTTTAAAAATATTGGCCTCTGTCAGCTACCAAAAGAAACCCAGTTGTACCCAAGATACCCTGAATGTCCTACTTTCACAGAAGTTTTGGCAGATCCCAGGGAGGTTCTGCATCACCAGCAAACAGTATTTCACAGAAAGCTCTCCTGGGCTGAGCTAGA